TTCGAAATGGGAAAATGGTAAACACAATACACGAAAAATGGCGACGTTTGATGACGTTACGGCGCACCGGAGAACAGTTCAGTTACATTAGGATGTTTTAATGACACCTTAAGAGACTTTAAATGAATACAGAAGAAAGAAAATATGTAAAATATCACCAGATCTTTAAAATATAAATGAAATGGAAGTTTTCTTAGCGAAGTTTTCTTGATCGAGTCCCCAAGTAGTACAAAACATACGGACAGTTTGCCATTGTAATAGCAAAAGCCGCTGTCACTGTCGACCGTTGATATGAGATTCTTTGTTAGTTGAATGATGGTGAGAATACTGTCCGTAACTTGCTAATAAATCTTCAGAAGATCGCATGAGTGTGCCACATTAGTTCCTTAACTGGTTATAAACACTCACGTATGAAAATCAAAAAAAAATTCTAGATTTAAGTGGGGCTTATCAAACTTTACATTTAACAACCACATGAAACGCGACGCTGTTTTAGACACCTTGACGTTATAATCCGTGCGCCGTAGGGCGAAACAGTACATAACATAAAATATCACAATTTGTTTATTTATGCATATATCTATTTAAAATTTGCTATGTATATTCATATTATATGTACTAAAGAGTAGTGAAAATTTCAGAATGCAGTGATGATTATTTTTCAAACTAGACAACTTGTCCACGATTTTACGGGACAACCCTCGTACTTTACCCTTTTCAAACATATATTTGATTGCATAACTTAACAGTAGCATCAAAATCAATGTATCTGGTATGGATTTTTTGGGGGGCTTGCAGAATCCCAATGAATATTAATTCATTGAGGAGCATAAATTTATGATTATATTTTTCATGTTTTTTTTTTTTTTTTGGTGTTTTTATCAATCAAAAGTTTTGTTCCCAAAATGGCACGATATATCCTGATGAGCTAGAGATAAAGGATACCACAGAGTCTGACACGTCTGTTTCATACTTGGATATTTTACTTGAAAAAGACGTTAATGGTAATCTAACAACCAAGCTCTATGATAAACCTGTTGTCTTTAACTTTTCTATCGCCAACTTCCCTTACTTATGCAGCAATATACCTTCATTGCCTGCATACGGATTGATTCGATACGCTAGAGCATGATCTATGTATGAACAATGTCTTAAACGAGGTAAATTATTGACAAATAAATCGGTGAAACAAGAATATCAGCAGTCTCGTTTAAGGTACTGGTCATCATTTCGAAAGTTCTTTGATCAATGCAATAACCTTGTCAGCAAATACAATTTATCATTGAGTCAAATGCTGACTGACGTTTTCCATACTGATTGTTAGTTCATTATTTATACACTGAATTGACGACGGGTTTTCCCGTTATTTTCCGATCATGACAAGGAGCATACGGCGGGTGTGACCGGTCAGCAAAGGTTTCTCAGTCCTCCATGGTACCTGATCAGTTTTAACTTTATAAAGCATATAGTTTTGGAGCTATTGTAAAAATAAATTTTTGGACATGTTGACCTTTGATGAAACTTTAACTGAAGTTATTTCTAAATTATCTAAATTCATAAGTTTAAATGATTCGCTTAAAAATGTGAGTGAGGTGAGAAATATTAAATACCTGTTTTTCATATTTCAGGTCACCCTTTTTCTGTATCAAGTAAAATGCAAAGTATCGAACCCAGCAGTCGTGTTTGTGTTTATTTTTTCAATACTTAGGTAAGGCTGTGACATCTGTATTCTTCGACACCAAATTATGTGATTATGGATATTGCAAATCATAATTGCATTTAACACAGACACAATTTAGTGTGTAAATACTAGTCTAACAATTAGTAGAAAAAAACTAGATGAATGATATATTTTATTTGCTTTAGACAAGGTGATTGTATTGACCATAGAATTTGCAAAATGTTTATGAGACTGTTCATATTCTTTTTTCATTAACTGTTTGTTAATAGCTTGCCTCGTTTTAAAAATTGCTCGAGTGACATACAGTGTCAATTGAAGTAGCTATTATTAAGTGATAATACGTCGTCGATACATCTATAGAGTTGAAGGCCACAAGCAGACTTGGGGTAATGATGAATGTATTGGTGATGCATTGACATGCATTACTTGAACTCGAAGTATTATTTTCCTGAATGGTTTTTCACTGTGACTGACCATAGCTCTTACATTAAGTCTGGGGAAAATAGCTAGTACTGGGGATAGTGGCTCGAATAGAGCCGATCTGTCTCTGATACTAGTCTATTTATTTAGGAAACGTATTGATCACTACTTACTGAAAGTCTTCCATTTATTTCTTATTCACTTCTTGATTTAAACCCAGGTAGGGACATTCAAATAAATAAATATAAATCTAATCAGTGATTGAGGAGAAGTATTATTTAGTAAAGCAAAGAGGTTCTTCGAACTCATTATATAGATTGATGGCAATAATTTTGGTTGCAGCGGTGTACTTCATTTCCTTTTTATGTTTGGTTATTCACTTTTGTAAGCAATGGGTAGCAATAATGAAAATGAGACAACATTGCTTGAGGACAAAATTAGGAGGTTAGAAATGGAAATGACTAGACAAAGGCATTCAACATCAATTGTTTCACGATATACCAGTAATTTTACTATGGCAGGCAATGCATCTTGTCGCCCTAGAATGTACAGACAACTGGTAGACCACAGTATGACAGACCAGTCGGCAGTCCAGACCATAATATGAGAGACCAGTTGGCAAACCATGGTATGGCAAAACAGAGAGTTAATATTTCAATCACTGACCAGTTGGCAGACCATAGTTTGACACGTCAGATGGCAAACCAAATGACAAGCCATAGTGGGGGGCTAGTCATATCGCTGACCATGGGGGATTGGCGAGTCATATGGCAACCCAAAGGGGTATTGTAAGTCAAAGAAACAATAATGGGGGAATTGCATCGAATTCTGATTCGTATGCCTCAAATTCAAAAACTACGTCTATGTTAGGTCAAGCATCGACTTTGACAGATTGCAATACTGACATAGCTAGGAATAATATACAGCGAAACGGAGTAGACAATACTACGGGTCCACAAGTTGAAGACCAGAAGCGTCATTTCATCAAACCTGCAATATTTGATATCAGTTCATTCTAAGAGATAATAAGATGATAATATCAGTGAGATTAAATTTGACCGTTTTATATTAGAAGCAGGGTCAGGTCAAGGTCATTATCTTTTTCCTTGACAATAAGAATAAAGAAATACTGTTGCCAATCATGTGATACCTACTTCTATTTCAAAAGTTTAAAGATTGTTCTTTTTGCATAAAAACATATTACTATATCGGGTCTATAGCATGATGTTACCAAATCTATATAAATAATTACTAAACTGGATATTGGTTCATCCAAATTTTCTCTGTTTTTCTTAATTCTTTAGGATATATTAGTTATTTTCAGGTGCTTCCTATATTTAAGTTTTTCCTATTTTCACATGTAATAAAGTAGTCTTTTAAATGTACAAAATGAAACAAAAACAAAAAGTTTTGATCGTTTACTAAGAGAGAAAAAATACTTTTTATGGATTTGTGGCTCAAATCTGTACTTTGATAGGAAGCGTTTAAAAGCTAACAAAGTTCTAGTTTGTTTGAAAAATCATATCTATTTGATATATTTTGAAAGTTTAGTACGTCATTATTATTTTAACTTACTTTTGAAAATTTCTCCAAGTCTTCGATTGTGTAATAATTATAACTAAATTTATTGTTCTATTATAATTTTGTGAGGCAGTAAAGAAGATATTTTCATACGCCACCATTCCGCCAAAAATATAGTCCATGCTAGTTTTCAAATGCAGTTTACCATTTCTATTCAAAGTTGTACAATTATGATGAGGAAAGAAAAATATGGTCTTTTAAATTCGTTACACCTCAATATAAAAGACATATAAGCAAATATACTTTGAATGTTTCATCTAGGCAGAAACCAGAGAAGAATCCTACCTTAATGGATAAACAATTTAGGAAACTTACAATGCACTGTGAATTTTTACCCTGCTTCAATTTAAGACTCTAGAAATTGTCACTAAACAATTGCAGTATCGACATTTGTGCAGCAATATCTTGAATCCTTGGAATATCCTGCGTCTATTTATACCTTGTTTCTGTAAACCAAAGAAAGGTATGCCCTTGCGCCGAAGCGATTTTGTTGATATTCCTTATAAACTTGTGTAGTAAGGGTCGATGACGTCATAAAATGACGTCACAATGTAAACTGGCTATCGCATATCTTGGGTACCAAGAATGTTTTAGAAAACAAGTCTTAACTTTTTTTCTGCGTGGTAGGTATAGTCATTATGGGTTTCACAAAGAATTTAAGCATAGAAACCTCTATACATAGACTTAACTCACTTGCGATCTCCATATCCTTCATCCTCCTCCATGTCCTATAATTCTTTTATGATCTATCATATTCAATTACTCAAACCATGTTTAAGCCAATTTTATAAAGCCCAATAAATCCCAAACTGCGCCGTCTTCGACAAACTTTGTTGGTTTTCTAAAAGGAAAACCAATCTGCCTGGATACATACACTGCATTAATATGTTTTTTTTTCACAGATAAGATGTCTTTTCCGTCTTCAAGAGTTTCCAAAATTGTACAAACAGCCTGAAAACTTATTATGCAAGTTTTGAATAAAACGAGTTGCATATATTTCAAGTATTCACTGAGAAATATTCTTGCCTATCAACTCTTATGTTGTTTCCGCGATACTTTGTTTAAGCGATCATTTTGCCATTGATTTTTTATAACAAAAACTTCAGTATACTCTAAAATTATGAATTTTAAAGTCATTTAAAAAGTCAAAAACCACCATAATGACCAGTTTATGAAAAACCTTCGTTCTCCATTTCTATTCGTATGATTTAAATGTATACAGAACTACACTGCCAATCATTCATTCAAAATGTTTTAAACTGCGCAGTATTACTCAATAAGGTTTTGGTACCGCTTGATGATTATATTGAAGCACAAGATTCGATCGTGTCAGCGCAAAAATGGTGAACCCAGCACAAAACGAAAGTGAGATCCAACAGTCATCTGGTAAGAACTAAAAATGTAATAATGTGAAGATAAATAAGGAACATTTATCAATCTCAAAAGTTCACTTAATCAACACAAACTTTAGCAGAGCCAATATGGATTTTTTTTAGATCGGAGGTAGGATCAGGTGCAAGGCAAAAAAGCACCCCAATGTGTCAAATTTAACAGACTAGAATGAAAGATTTGAAATGAAAGTCCTTTAATTTAAGACAATCATTTCTTTCCCATTAAGGTTATTAAAACAGAGATTTGAAGTGTTTCTGTTGATTAAAAAAAATATCCTTTTTTCAGTTGAACTTGCACACAGACGACAAAAAGCTGCAGAACATTTCTTTAGGATGTCCATTGTTGACAGCACTTTCAGCAGGTAGCATCGTCTTTGGAATTGTAATGATTGTCTATTTAGACCGAAGTTTTAGTTTCTCGGTGGACACAGGCGCTCTTATATGGTCGGGAGCAGTGGTAATATTTTAATTAATATACATTGTAATAAAGTATAATTTGGTAATATGAAATATATGAAGATAATGTAATAACGATAATGATAATAAATTAATAATGTAATATGATTTGCTATGCAAATGTATCATAAAGTTTTATCATCAATAAATAAGGTCCAGGTCTTGTTCGTGAAAAAATATTTGTATTAAAGATTTTTTTAACTTTAATTGTAGCTCTTGCTCAGTGGTATGTCTTGTTATTTTGTCTCTAAGATGGATATTAATAATAGAAATCTGCCATCTTCAAGCTTTATCAAGAGAATAAGTAACTTAATTTTATTTTATGTTCATCCACAGTTTCCTTTTGTGTCATCATTCTTTCATGTTATCCTTTACTTGTTTGACAAATCTTTCTTCAAAATAAAAATCCAATTCCTTATAATTTCACGAATGGCGGTATCAATTATAATATACATATTTTCTTCTGAACAGGTAACTGTTTACAGAGTGATAAACGGGCTGAGCTTAGGAACAAATGGACTCTGTTTTGTCCCCATCTTCTGGATCATACTGATTTGTACCGGCGATAAGGATTACACTTACACGTGTGCTGTTGAGGGAAACCTGAAGTGGGACATTGTAGCATTTATACTCTCCATCATTATGTTTATCTTTAACATTGTTGGTTTTGTCTTCTCGTGTATAATTGTTAAAACATTGCAATCTGACGGAGAAGGAAATCCACCCGAGAGGAAAAATAACACTCTAAAAATTGTAATTCCACCTCAGCAGAACATTAATAGACCTCGTGATTTAGATCCGTCCCAACAGATCACACTGTGGTTTCACTGATATTTGTGCGCATCAATTTTCGTGGATTAAAAAAAAATTGCAGTTTAGAGGATACATTAACGTAGTCAACGTTTGAACGTTTATGGTCGAAATAATTACCTCGTCAGAAAATAATTGATTAAGGAAGAATGGCACATCAATTTTTTCTTTTATAGATCTCTAAGTCATCCTTTTTAAACAATCATTTCAGCATTGAAAGCTGTTTATTATTTTATAGGAATTTTTTTTGTATTTTTTCAAAGATTAGGGTATGTCACTCGTCAGCTTTTTAGAAAAGTTCACGCAGTACCCCTTACTTCAAAGTTATTTATTATAATTCATTTTTATAACATATTAAATTTCAACAATGTAAATTATTCAACATACAATAAAAAACTGCTCAAAAATCCACAAAGAAGCAAGATTTTTTGAGGTGGAAGGATATTTAGCAGAAAATTCTGCAAATCTGCACATTTATTAAATTTAATATCTTGGAGCTTTAGCCTCACATACTTTTACTCAGGGAACATTTTCCGCTATGATATGCTACGAATATTTAATAAAGGTCTCAATTTATATTTTTAGAACAATTTTTACACCTTCCCTAAACAAACTTTGCCGAGAAATGAAGATATGTTAAAGAAGTCAATATAAAATGTACACCGTTTTCTGCCTGAAAATCACATGTCTTGACCAATATTTCAGAATGAACATCACTGACCCCAACTTTTTATTTTGTTATTATAAACTACTCGATGCTTTTGACTGATCAGCACTTAAGTCGTAAAAAATTTGATACAAGAAAAAAGTTTATTGCCTATTTAGATTTTTAATACCCCAGATATGTTACTTTTTTGTGCAAAAAGGTCACACAATAATACACGCGCATTAACTTGCAAGATTTGTTCAATGATAAATATTATTCAAACTATTTTACGTAAAATAAGATTATATTTGTTTTAACCATCGTTACATCTAACAAAATATTATAAAGGTTAAAGTATTTAACTAAAAGGTTAAGATCTAAGTGTAAAAAGGTCACTTAATTGCACCGTTACGGTAGCTCAGTAAGATGCATACTGACCCCTTATTTTCTCAGCTATATTGAGTCATACGATATGAGTACTTATCCAAAATATATATTCTTTAAAAAATTCTTGATTTAACAAATTTCACTAGTGACAAACCTTAACCGAAAAAATTATTTATATCCAAATTAGATATTTTCGAATCAAAATTTTGCTGTAAATGAATGCATCATATGAATATCTCGTAAAATATTTAAAGAAAAGCCGTATAGATATTTAAACTTTCCAAATTAAAAAATATCTATGAAAATAAAACACAATAATTGTGAATACTTTTAAACTTGCGGTTAAAGTCTTTACAAAACCAGTCACAACTGGGGGGAACATGTTAGTTAATCATATTTATAAATTTATAAAAGAAATTGAAATGAAATCGCCAAATTTTAGAGAAATTATTTTTTATTTTGTTAAATCCTGATCAAAATGAAATAACTAGTTGAATGCTGACCTGAATTTTTGATACAAATTGTTAGGCGTTTGTTTATAATGTGAATTGTCTACGGATGTTTCTGTTTGTCCGATAAAGACAAGCAGCCCACGGCAGGTATGACCGGGAGGTTCACTCCTCCATGGCACCTGATCCCACCTCTGATGTTTAAGAGGTTTGCTTTTGCTCTGCTCTCAATCTTTATTGTTTCAGTGGACTTTTGATGTTGACTACAGTTGTTACTGTTCCTGATCTCTTTATTTCATATACTTTGTCTACATGTTTTTCTATTTAACCCAAATATAAAGCAATTTCAATGAAACAAATATGTCCTTAAGCTATCTTGTGCAGACGAATTTAAATATTATTGCACAGCTAGGTCTTCAGAAATTATTTGTTTAAACTTTGAATAACATTCGGATGACTTGTAGAATTCAAAAGTTATTCCTGCAACCAGATGTTTTCCCATTTTTAGTCATCACTTAATATGTTTTCCGTACAATTATTTTGCAAAGATTCAATAATGTAGAATCATAAAGCGTTGGACATACAAATTAAACAAAAAAAGAACACGGACCTCTGCATTAAACAACTACCAGTTCAGTAATGGAAAAAGTACAGAACTTTATTTTCTTTTAAAACATTTTAAGATGCATTTTTCGACATGCGTGCAATTAGCATGCACAGCTCTAAGGTTAGATGACACGTTCCTCAATGATGTTTAATTTTTGAAAGGTTCCTTACCCGGCTTTTGTACAAGATACAAGAAGATGTTATTTTTTAAAAAATAACTTTTCTGTTTATCTTGGAAATTGTTAATATCACTAATTCAAGACATTTTAAACATCACAAGGCTATGAAAATTATCAGCATTTATTCTAAATTTTTTGAAGAGATACAAAGCAGATATTGGAAGAACGTGTCTTCTGACCTAAAAATGTATATAGATACCACATACACGAATTTTAACCCCATTACAGACATTAGGAACAGGAAAATCAATATTTTAAACAACCTTTACTTACTCCAGAAATACCTTTAAAAGGGACTTGATTGCTAAAGGAATTTCACAGATTGTCCCGTATATGAATCTTAAGTTACAATATAAATCTACGCCAAAGAATAAGCAAAAACATAAAGGAATAAAACATTTTTTTCTTCTTTTTTCACGGAGTTTCAATGCTCCAGAGAAATGTTATTTTGAAAGAATTTCAAAGATTAGTTGAATTTTGTAAATTATTTCAAAATAATCAAATCACATCAAAGTCTTGATTCATTCTGATTGTGTCTTGTGGCTGACAAATAAATGCTCCTAAAATTAACTAAAGATAGAGACCGAAAAATGAATAATTATTATTTGTAGCACAAGAAACTTTCACCTTCAATAGAGAATATCATAGTTACATGTACGTTAGAAATACTATACAGTTGTAGCGTTGTGAAACTGAAATGAAACAACGCGTGATCTATAAGAGAAAAAAAGGAAATTAAATTGAAGCTGATAGTGTTAAAAGTTGCATGGGAAAGAATAATTTGTAATGAGATCCCCCATCTCTTATCTAATCACGAAATTATGATTTTTAAAAGAGGGGGACAACGTTGAAGTTCTGTGCACTCTGCTTTTTTAGTTGTTCTACAACATGCTTGGACCATCGTTGCTTTTTTTTCTTTTCGTTGGCTTTGCTAATGGCAGTAAATCATGTGACCGGAAGGAGATGGAAGATACAATTTGCAGTCTCTGTGGACAAAGGAAAGGAACTCAACTTACAAGAGGGAGTGGTATTTAAATTTTTAAAAAAAACTGTTTAATATGGAAGCTTTTGTTTTGATTTAAAACTTACTAGTATTCCTATTGTCAGAATATACTCATTTATCGACAAACTGAATATGAAAGCTTTGTTTGAAATTGAGATTTCTTTAAGGTTTGATTCTTTTTCTGTGAGGAAAATTTTATCAATTCATATGTATGCATTGGAACATGTAACTTTAACTGATAAAAAATTGCAATTGTATTTTCTTTTTACAGGTAAGCAAATTGCCTTTTATGCCTATATATCCAGTAACATTCAAGGGAAGACACTATCCAAGCACAAAATTTTCGTTTATGATCGCGTTGAGACGAACATTGGTAACGGATATGACGCCACGTCGGGAAAGTTCACAGCTCCAGAGAGAGGGGTATACGTCATACACACAACTACTTTTTCTTACAATAGATCATGCAGTGTTATAGAATTAGTAAAAAATGGAGTCGTTAAAGACGTTGCATATGCTGACTCGGGAAATCACGATGATGCAGCCTCAGCTTCTACACTGACAATTTTGAATTTGAAGAAAGGAGATGTAATAAACACCAGAGTTGGAGTGAGGTATGGTGGATCATACCTACCGAGCAACGACTTTGCCCGAATAAGTTTCTCTGGATTTAAACTCATGTGAAATGAATGATCTGGAATAAAGGGCTAAATGTGTAGATTGAAATTAACTGATTTCTTATTAACTTATGTTCTGTTAACCGTTCGTTCTGTTTCAGTGGTTTATCAACGCGCAAGTCAAAAAAGTTAAAGTACACCAAAAAGACAGTTTATACCTTTTCAACAAAGACATTATTCAACAAAATCAGTCAATTCATGATTGTGTTGTAAATTTTATACACTATGTCCCCCTGCATATGGATTTATTTTGACTTGATTCCATACACAAAAATATGCTCTACATAAGAACAATTTCTTAAACAGAGCAGGCTAATGATAAAAGAATTAATTATACAAGATTTCGACAATTCTTGAAATCCTTGACTAACAACATGAACATAACATCAACTTATTTTTTCCGTGCTTGTGCCTCTAAAAACTTCTCAAAACAAGAACATGCTCTTGTACAACAAATCAGTTTATAAATAATAAACATAAACAATGTAAATTATGTAGTGATCACGGTACATAACTCCATAATTATGTATATGTATGCAAAATGGGGAAGTTGACGATGTAAATACTAAATTTAACTAGTTTTTCTTCAAGTTTATTTATCAGTATTCCACAAGCATTTATAGACAGTTAAATATTCAACTATTGAACAGATCATGCAGACTGTGTGCTCTAGAATCGCGAAATAAGGAGTTGACCCATGCGTCGCGGGTTCGAATCCCACTGTGGGACGTGGAGACCGGTCCTTCTGATGAGAGTTATCCCTGTTAAAATATACAAATTCTGACGTCTTTGTGTATGTGATATGAATACTTCATCACTCTATTTAAGGGGTGCTCAGAAAATAATGATGAATAGTTGTCTCTATGATAAACCTTAACTTTAAAGTCTTAATTTCTTTGATTGTTTCTTGAGTTTTCAGAATAAAAATACACTGTAGATATATAGAGAATACGAAGGACGAATAAGCTCTGTAATTTTTCCTCAAAATTTCAATTACGAAAAAACATCATTATAATTATTTGCAGCGGCGTTGTCAGACAAAGGGAAATAAATCCGGGAACCGTTTTTTTTTATTTCTTTCACACGGAAAAAATGCCGAAACCTCAGTGAAATACTGTTGATCGTCCTTCCTTCGGGTGAAGGTTTATGAAAATCAAACCTTTCACTAAAAGGGAAATCTATTCAAAATATGTTTGGAGCTCTGACTTTTCTTTGCAATAATAAGATGAAGACAGATTTCTCACTAATTCATTTTTTTACAATTTATTTTCTGTTTTACGTTCTGATACACATCAAGTTTGTTATACCTTCTCAGTAATGTACATGTGTATATTTTCAATAGACAATTAGAACCCGTGTTTTGTCTTAAACATTTATAAGGTAATGAGGCACCTGTCTGAAATAAAAATATTTTTAAATTCATATTTCCTTTGTCAGAACTTTAAAAACTGTGGTGATTAATTGTTTAGTGTTTTAGCAATGTATTTCAATGTAATTCTAACATTTGAAGATCATATCAAGTTGCTCACAGCACCAATATTTTTGTATGTTCCAACAGATTTTCATCGAATGAAATATGAGAAAAAAAGACGAACACAAATCAAGTTCAAAAGCCCATTAAAGCAGAACAAACACCAACCTCTAAAAACATCAGAGTTCAACAGCAATTTTGTAACACTCCTTTTAATTTTTTGTTTCATCTGTATTCTGTACAGCGTGTAAGGGTCGTCTTTTCAGATATCAAAACTTCGTCTTTCATACTAATTCATCATTTTTTGTATAACAGCGCGGTTTTTTCATGCATCCTCATGACCATTTTCAAACTTTTATAGCTTAGTGTACTTGATTCATTTAAAAGCGAATGACTTTGTGAGGACTGTCGGAAAAAACGCAGTTGTAGAGATTATAATTTTTTAAAAATAGTATTTCTTGACTTATGAAAAAAATTATTGTGTGTACATTTATTATGATAAACCATTTGTATCATCGGGTTGTATTTTGACTGATATGTTTCATATCATTGTTAGCCCTTTGCTTTTATAGCAAATATGACTGCAAAATATTTCATTTAACTGATGAAATATGTAGATAAGGAACAGTAATCAAAATCAAAATTAAAAACAGTCAAGTCCACCAAAACAATACTAACTGGGAATAGAGTAGACAGGGAACCTCTCTCTAAAAACATCAGAGGTTAATTTAATCAGGTACCATGAAGAAGAAATTTTCCCCCGTTGACCGGTAACACCCGCCGTAACATGTCATGATCGAGAAAATATCAGAAGACATTTTAGATTAAATAAGGGCCTAACAATCGGCATGAAAAAAGCGTAAGTCAGCATTCGACGTTATGATAGATTAATATATTTGTTGACACAGTTAATTAATTACATAGCTTTATAACCTTTTTTAAAATGACATAAGATGACCAACAGGTATAAGAGAGCATTAACCAAAATTAAAGATAAGTTCCTATCATTGATAGATTGGGAATGTTTTGGCAATTTAGAGAGTCTGTGATTGAAGTTATATTAAAATCGGACCAAGACTGCAGTAGGAGCAGTACTACTGCCACAACTGTGTCTAGTTCTGTGCAGATGATATGCCAGAACTTTTTCTTACAAGTATGTTTTATTTTTATTCACCTTTGATTGTCCACTTCACTTTTGTTTGAGCAATTGTGTAAAGTCTAGTAGCTTAAATTAAACAGCATAAGGAAGAAACTCCTTCATTGTTTAACTACTAGTAGTAATCTGATAAAAGGCAAAAAACTTTTAACCATCCAAATTTCTATTTGAAATGACTATTCATAAAAGCAGTTGACACATAAATTAACGTATTTCTTTGTGTTGTACTCAAAATGACAAAGTCTTAACTGAATATTATTATATAGTCTATTCATAGTCCCTATATAATCTACACAAACGCAAACAGTTCATAACACTACATATTCACCGGATTTTAGGCCGTTTTCACCGGAGGGTCAATGCGCGTGCAAATGCATTGTGACGTCACAATCAAAACATCAAACAACGTTGTAAACAGTGGTTGCAACAGCCGCAGCGAGCTACGTATCTGAACAAAAAAAAACAATTATTCAAATCTATTTCAAGATTATTTTTAACATTTGGACGTCTTACACATAGCTAAACTCGGAAAGGAAAACACGGATGTTACAAACAGTAATCTGGAGATTTTTTTATTTTCCACAATAGAAGATCGTGAAAATGGTGTCGTCATACAGCATTCAATGTCTTCTTAATTCAAATCCCGACTGTATAATAAAACAGTTATGGACTCTTTTGGTGTTGAATATGGTTTGTTATTCACCAGAAAAATATCCATATTGACCTCGGCATCGCCTCGGTCAATATGAATGTTTTTCTGGTGAATAACAAACCATATTCAACACAAAAAGAGTTTATAATTGTATAGTATCTAACAATAAATGATGGTATATATATAAAATATCACAGTCAATTATTAGCAGCTATAGAATATCACAATTCTCAAACCATTGCATACAAACAAATCAAGCAGTTGTTGTATTTAGATGAAACTACAGGACTTATTCTACCTAAGGAGGTATTCAACATTTAACAAATGCTTCAGAAATAAATATTTTTTCTTCAAATATGAAAATCTTTCCCATACACATGATGTATTCATACAGTTTAACAGAGTTTTGAACATAACACAAAATGTACTGAACACAGACATTGCTACAAAGAACAACATTTTGTAACGGATGTGAATATATATTATTCCGAAAGACAGTAGTAAAATATATTTCACATCAACCAATAACAGTCTTAAAGGATCTATTTAGACTTAAAAAATCAAGACTTCTGAAAAATTAGTCGACAATGCTTCATATATAACCAATTTTGACGGCACGACTAAAACAATGATGCAATTATTAGAACAATATCCTGACAATCAATCCAAAATTTTAGCTAAAAGACCCGTATTTTTTCACTATTTTCAATAGATCACAAACTCTAATCTAAAATATGTAATAATATAATAAATGATAACACAAGTTTTTGCTGTAAAATATGACATGTTTATTTTTGTTTTATTATATTTTTATCAATGGATGTGCTCAGATCACATCTGTAAATTCCTTCTTGAAGATACTCAGGTAGACCTACATATACTCTAAGAGGAATTTTTGCTATAGGAAACGAAAGAACAACATCTCTACTTTTTGGAAGATTTGAAAAAGGAATATTTAGTCAATAGAATCGTTAAACTTTGTTAAAAAGAACAAGTTATTAAAACAGATCTTGTTTCTTATGAAATATATCTTAAATATGAAAGTGTTGCAAGATTTAAAATAATGTTTTTTGAATACTAGTAGATGAAAACTAATGTAATAAAATCAAACAAATTGTATTGTATGACCTTCTAAATGCTAACTGTGACGTCAAGAACCTGTGCATTTTCCCGTATTTTCTTAAAATGCTGTACAAGACATCAATTTTCGGTGGAATTTTCTTTCCAAAAAAAAAATATATATATATAGGACTTGCATCGCCCACAGAGATTTTGAGACTTGTCATTTTTTTCAAGGCATTTTACACAATACTATTTTCGAAAAGAAAATAACCACAGAAATGAGTCATCTCACGTCTTTTCTGCTTAAAACTTGAAAATGTACAAGTGTACCAAGTTAATGACGTCCCATTCCAAGAATAATTCTCCTCCATGTCCTATAATTCTTTTATTCATTTACTCAAATCACTCTAAAAATACATTTTCTCACAATAAGATGTCCAAAATTATTGTCAAAAATTGTACAAACTGCCTGAAAACCTATTATGCAAGTTTTGAATAAAATGACTTGCATATGTTTCAAATATTCACTGAGAAATATTCTTGCCTATCAACTCTTATTCTGTATCCACGATACTTTGTTTAAGCAATCATTTTGCCATTGATTTTTTATAACAAAAATTTCAGCATACTGAATTGCAAAATTATTTAAAATGTCAAAACCACTATTATTACCAGTTTATGAAAAACCTTCATTCTTCATTTCTATTCGTATGATTCAAATGTCTACCGAAATACACTGTCAATCATTCATTCAAAATGTTTTAAACTGCGCATTATTACTCAATAAGGTTTTGGTAATGCTTGATAAATATATTGAGCCACAAGATTCGATCGTGTCAGGGCAAAAATGGTGAGCACAGCACAAAACGAAAGTGAGATCCAACAGTCATCTGGTAAGAACTAAAAATGTAATAATGTGAAGATAATTAAGGAACATTTATCAATCTCAAAAGTTCACTTAATCAACACAAATTTTAAGCAGAGCCAGTATGGATTTCTTAGATTAGAAGTAGGATCAGGTGCCAGGCAAAAATGCACCCCAATGTGACAAATTTAACAGACTAGAATGAAAAATTTGAAACGAAATTCCTTTAATGAAAGACAATCATTTCTCTTCCATTAAGGTCATCAAAACATATATTTGAAGGTTTCTGTTGAATAAAAGAAATATCCTTTTTTCAGTTAAACTTGTCCACAAACGACAAAAATCTGCAGACCATTTCTTTGGGATGTCCATTGTTTTGACAGGACTTTCAGTATGTAGCATCGTCTTTGGAATTGTAATGATTGTCTATTTAGACCGAATTTTTAGTTTCTCGGTGGACACAGGCGCTCTTATATAGTCGGGAGCAGTGGTAATATTTCAATTGATATACATTGTAATAAAGTGTAATTTGGTAATATGAAATATATCAAGATAACGTAATAATGATAATAAATTAATTATATAATAAAATTTGCCATGCAATTGTATCATAAAGTTTTATCTACAATTAATGATGCCCTGGTCTTGTTCATGAAAAAAGTTTTTGTGTTAAAGATTTTTTTTAAATTTTAATTGTAGCTCTTGCTCAGTGGTATGTCTTGTTATTTTGTCTCTAAGATGGATATTGATAATAGAAATCTACAATCTTCAAGCTTTATCAAGAGAGTAAGTAACTTAATTTTATTTTATGTTCATAGTTTCCTTTTGTGTCATCATTCTTTCATGTTATTCTTCACTTATGTCAGAAATCTTTCTTCAAAATAAAAATCCAATACCTTATAATTTTACTAATGGCTATATCAATTATAATATACATAATTTCTTTTGAACAGGTAACTGTTTACAGAGCGATAAACGGGCTTAGTTTAGGAACAAATGTTATAGCTACAGGACTCTGTTTTGTCCCCATCTTCTGGATCATACTGATTTGTACCGGCGATAAGGATAACACGTGTGCTCTTGAGGGAAACCTGAAGTGGGACATTGTAGCATTTATACTCTCCATCATTATGTTTATCTCTAACATTGTTGGTTTTGTTTTATCGTGTATAATTGTTAAAGCATTGCAATTTGATGGAGAAGGAAATCCACACGAGAGGAAAAATAACACTCTAAAAATTGTAATTTCGCCTCAGCAGAACATTAATAGACCACGTGATTTAGATCCGTCCCAACAGATCACACTGTGGTTTCATTAATATTTGTGCGCATCAATTTTCGTGGATTAAAAAAAATTGCAGTTTCGAGGATACTTTAATGTAGTCAACGTTTGAAAGTTTATGGTCGAAATAATGACCTTGTCAGAAATACATTGATTAAGGAGGAAAGGGGCGTCAATTTTTTATTTTATAGATCTCTAAGCCATCCTTTTTTAAACATTGAAAGACCAATATTAGCTGTTCATTATTTTACATGATTTTTTTTTTTTGTATTTTTTCAAAGATTAGGGTATATTACTCGCCAGCTTTTTAGAAAAGTTCACGCAGAACCCCTTACTTCAAAACTATTTATTATAATTCATTTTTTATAACATATTAAAATTCAACAATGTAAATTATTCAACATTCAATGAAAAAACTGCTCAAAAATCCACAAAGAAGCAAGATTTCTTGAGGTGGAAGGATATTTAGCAGAAAATTCTGCAAATCTGCACATTTATTAAATTTAATATCTTGGAGCTTTAGTCTCGCATATACTTTTACTCAGGGAACATTTTCCGCTATGATATGCTACGAATATTTGATAAAGGTCTCAATTTATATTTTTAGAACAATTTTTACACCTTCCCTCAACAAACTTAGCCGAGAACTGGAAGATATGTTATAGAAGTCAAGATAAAATGTACACCATTTTTTGCCTGAAAGTCACATGTCTTGACCAATATTTCAGAATGAACATCACTGACCCCAACTTTTTATTTTGTTATTATAAACTATTCGATACTTTTGACTGATCAGCACTTAAGTCGTAAAAAGTTTGATACAAGAAAATATTTTATTGCCTATTTAGATTTTTAATACCCCAGATATGTTACTTTTTTGTGTAAAAAGGTCACACAATAATACACGCGCATTGACTTGCAAGATTTGATCAATGATAAATATTATTCAAACTATTTTGCGTAAAATAAGGTCATATTTGTTTTTACCATCGTTACAAAATATTATAAAAGTTAAAGTTTATAAGTAAAAAGTTAAGATTTAAGTGCAAAAAGGTCACTTAATTGTACCGTTACTGTAGCTCAAAAAGATGCACACTGACCCCCTACTTTCTCAGCTATATTGAATCATACGGTATGAGTACTTATCCAAAATATATATCCTTTAAAAACTTCTTGATTTAACAAATTTCACTACAGACATACCTTAACTGTAAAATTATTTATATCCAAATTAGATATTTTCGAATCAAAATGTTGCTGTAAATGAATGCAACATATGAATATGTAGTAAAATATTTAAAGAAAAGCCGTATAGATATTTAAACTTTTCAAATTAAAAAATATCTATGAAAATAAAACACATTATTTGTGAATACTTTTAAACTTGCGGTTAAAGTCTTTACAAAACCAGTCACAACTGGGGGGAACATGTTAGTTAATCATATTTATAAATTTATAAAAGAAATTGAAATGAAATCGCCAAATTTCAGAGAAATTATTTTTTATTTTGTTACATCCTGATCAAAATTAAATTATTAGTTGAATGCTGACCTGAATTTTTGATACAAATTGTTAGGCGTTTGTTTTTACTGTGAATTGTCTATGGATGTTTCTGTATGTCCGATCGATACAAGGTGACCGGGATGCTTACTCCTCCATTGCACCTGATCCCACCTCTGATGTTTAAGAGGTTTCCTTTTGCTCTGCTCTCAGTCTTTATTGTTTCAAAGGACTTTTGATGTTGAATACAGTTACTGTTTCTGATCTCTTTATTTCACTTACTTTGTCTACATATGTTTATATTTAACCCAAATATAAAGCAATTTCAATGAAACAAATATGTCCTTAAGCTATCTTGTGCAGATGAATTTAAATATTATTGGCTTCAAATATGGCATATTTTAAAAGTTAACGTCAAGCGGAGTAATACGCTTTTGATGTAACTCATTGTGACGTAGGCAAGTTATGTTATACAAAATGGATAAAACCGTTTAACCAATCAAATGACGTGATACAACTGAAATTAAATTATTACGCAAGAACATGCTCTACGAAAGTAGGTTAATGATGAATAAAGTGTTGAAACCAGGGTATCGACAATTCTTGAAATCTCTGACTCACAAGAATGTCGATTACATCAACTTATTTTTTCTGTGCCTGGCCTCGTTCTTTATCAGAACAAGAACATGCTATTGTACATCAAATCAGTATATGAATAATGAACATAATTCCATATGCACATGTACTTAAAAAGCAGAAGTTGACGAAGTAAAAACTAGTTTTTCTTCAAGTTTATTTATCAGTATTCCACAATCATTTGTAATCAGTTAAAATTCACCTATTGAACAGATGATGCAGACTCTGTGTGTTCTAGAGTCGCGAAGTAAGGAGTTTGAATCCCTCTGTGGGGCGTGGAGACAGGTCCTTCTGATTAGAACGTTAAAACCGAGGTCCCATGTCGCAGTAGATGCTGGCATGAAAAAGATCCGATCCCTCGCTGATCAATGGGCGTAAGTGCCGAGTATAAGACAAAATTTGCAGCTCTCCATCGGTAAATGGTAGCGTCTCCATATGAGTGAAAAATTCTCGAGAGGGACGTAAAACAAGATGCAATCAATCAATCAATCAGACTTTGTATTGTCTCGAGTTCGAGCTTACATTAAAATAGGATCTTACTTCTCAATAAGACGTTTCAAATACTACTAAATCCTGCTATAAAAAAATCAGTTCAGCTAATCCAGAAGCACAACTGTTGCCAACTGGGAATCAATCAGACTGCTAAAAGAATTAGACACATGTACTTAAAACTAAATAAATACACTTCACTTTAATTAAACAGCTTTTCTTCAAGATAAATTGAAAACGTCGCTTTTGATAAGTTAAACAACTGATTCTGTAGAAAAGAATGAAGTTTGAAAATAATCATGTCTTGTAAATTAGTTATCAATAAAACTACTTTGTTAAACATCGCTTTAATTCTACACACAAGTACTCTGAAATTGATATTTAAAGGATGCTTGACAACTTTTATGTAATATTTGGAGACCGCCTCTTCTAGAAAAAACTGTTGGAATTTTGATGGGCACTTACTGTTTGTATATTTCTACGAAGCAGAATTTATTCAAATGCTTCTAATAGAAAAGATAACATAAAATGTGCCCTTCAACTATTTGTTATCAATAATAGATTTTAATTCATATGTCAATTAAATATATAACATTTTTGAATATGTTTTCTTATTATATCACAAATGTGATAAGTTTCGCTATAAACCCTGCAAAATGCTGAATCACACCGGAAACAGTTATGTCACGCCGGAAACAGTTATGTCACCCTTTCGATCATGTTCACGTGTTTTTACGTTACGCATTTTAGTTCGGGTTCGAGATTTTATGACGTCGGTTGCTAAGCAAAAGTAAACAACACAGCGTATTTCTTAACGTCAAGAAGGCATTACTGGGATTATTTGTGTAAATTTTAATGATTTTGAATGAATTTAAATTTTCTTTTAATTTTAAAAATGTCATATAACATATACCACATGGCTTCTCGGGCAACTATACCGGAATATTTGCCCCTCGGTGACAGGAAAGCCCTGGGGTGTTATGTCACCTTCTGCCTTCGGCATCGGGTGACATAACACCCCAGGGCTTTCCTGTCACCTCGGGGCAAATATTCTGGTATGTCACCCTTGAAGCCATGTGATATGTGTATAATATATTATCCCAGTGAGCTAGAAATAAAGACATGAAATAAAAAGTCTGTCATGTTTGTTTCATATTTCTACATTTTAATGATTATAAACAATAATAGTCTACGAACAACTAAAACTGTATGACAGACGATATATACTGAAAGGAAAAAGAAACGCATAATAAACTTTTGAATAAAATTAAAACTTTAATTTCCAATATGTTTTCCAGTATTGTTATCAAACATTTTAATTCAACTTTAAACAACAAGAAACCGAAATCTTGTGTGACTTTGACTGATAATTCCTCAGTTATTGAAATTGATTTGTCGATACCCCCGAAAATTAAAATAAAAATTCTCATCATCTCCCTTGCGCATCAGTAACAGCCTTGATTTTCTTGTGCATTGAGTTCACCAGAGCATTTATCTTTCTCAAGGATTATCATTCAAGCCTTTCCAACGGTTGTCTTAATGGTTGAGAGTAGCTGTATTATTCCAAAACCAACAAATCCCCCCGCCCAATGAATCCCACGAATTTCCGATTTAGGATAGAATTTACAGAATTTAGCTGATTTGGTACACGTGAATGTTTGTAAGGAAGTATCGACAAACACTGGCTACATTTTCTCAGTGTGAACATGCTAAAAACAATACGCATACGACGCGTACGTGCGCGTGTGAGAGTAAAATCGACTTAAAGTTGCCAAGCTTGCGTACCAAATTAGAGCAGAGATTTTTTTGTCAGTATTAGGGTGAAAATATGAGTAGTATTGCCTGCCGTAAAAATATCGGTTTCAGTGATAATGACTTGACAATAACCGAGGTAGCATGATGAAAACCCTATCTTGATGTGACGTTGTTACACTCCAACGTCACCCTCATGGTTGGTTGGAAACCTTTTAAGTTACTCTCTGACAACCGAAAAAACTTTTTTGGTTGAAAAGTTAAAAACAAACTGCACAGCAACATGTTGTTGCCTTTTTATTCACTTATGCAACTCAATTACTAGACCCTGTTTTCTGTTGTTCTCCATAGTTCAGCACAATACAGCAACACAGATAGAACATTTGTGTTGAAGATCTTGAGTTTGTTCTTTGTGCTGTATTGAACTGAATTCCATACTTTGGCAAGCGATAGAAAAGCGGTCCTCAGTTCCTCCGGTTTATCCATTGTGGCACCCAGGTAGAGAAATGTTTCGACCTCTTCTATTTCTTTATCACTTATCCTGATAGCATCCGTCTTCTTTCCATTTACTCTCATGCTCTTTGTTTTCTCAATATTAATTCTTAGGCCTGTATATTCCGCAATATCATGTACATGTAATCTACTGGTCTTTTCTTGCTTGTTGCTGTGTTTGCTGGAAAAAGTGCAAGGTCGTCTGCATAATCCAGGTCTTCTAATGTGGACATAATTTTGCAACGTATGCCTTTCTCCTTATTGTTGGTATTTTTCATAATCCAGTCTACCACAATGATGAACAGGAACCCAGGTATAACACAACCTTGCCTCACTCCTGTCTTTACCTTGAACCAGTCTGTTCTTCCATTCTCTTTAACACAACTAGAACTTCCATCATATAATTTCTT